CGCCCTCACACACCACTCCAGCCTGTAACGCACCCCCTCACACACACACAGGCACACTCCGGTGTCCACGTGACACACGCACACCCGCCTCCAAACACCACACACAGGTCCCCGCGCACGTGTGCACTCTCCGAGCTACCAGTCCTGTGCCTACCCCGCCCCAGAAGCCGCAGCGCCCGCCTCCGCCGCCCCCTCCCCGCCCCCAGTCAGGGGAGGACTGCGCAGCTAAAGCCACACGCCGCATCCGTCCCATTCATTATCCACCCCCCCGCCCCCAGCTCTCGAAGGAAGACTCTCAGGAGGGCGGTGGGAGGAGCACTCCACGGAGATCCACACGTGGGTGCACCGGTTTGGGCCCACTCCGCATAGACACGACCTCCGCCAAGAGATGGGGCGGGGTGGAGTGCGCCCGGTACGGTTGCAGTCCTGCAGACAAGAGCTGGGGAAGGAACGCAGATGGCGGGGCGCCCGCATAAACGCGGTCCCAGCTGCCGGCGCAGACTGAAGCTGGCTCGGAGAGGCACCCCGCAGGCCTGGCCCCATAGACAGAAAGGGAAGGATCCCCGCGCAGACAAGGTCCCGGCTGCCCTCGTAGATGCGGCCTCGCATCTGCAGGTTCGGGGCAGATGTTCAGGTATTGGTTCCCCCCACTCCCCGCCCCAGACCCCTCACCGCAGACCCGTACCTGAGCGCCAGGCGACAGTCTCCGCGGCCGGGCGGGCGGCCAGGCTCGCTCCCGCGGCGCGCCCTGCCGCCCCGCCGGAGCCCGGATCGCCGAGCTCAGACCGCCGGCGCCGCGGCCCCAGGCAGCGCTCGCGCCCCCGCCCGCCGCCGCGCCCTGCCTGCGCCTATTGGTCCGGCCGCGCGGCCCCCCGGCGCCGCCCAATCAGCGCCCGGGACTCCCGCCCTCACCCGGAGGGGAGGGGCCGCGACGGGAGGAGGCACGGGAGGGGCCCCTCCCCCTGCGGCGGGGCCAGACCTCATCACGCCCCCGGCTCACGGACACCCCCAAATCCCTCCAGGCCGCGGCGTGAGCCACTCAGCTGGGCCCGAGGAGTACGGGTGCTTCCCGCAAAACCCTTTGTCCCCCATCCTGGCCTGCAGGGGCAAGAGCGCCCCCTCCCTGCGGGGCTGAGGTGAGGTGCGAGCTAGGGAGGGGCAGGGTGAAGTGGGCGGCAGACGATGAGGCGAGAACAGGGAGCAGGGCCCGAAGGACAGGCCCAGGAGTTTAGCCTTCTGCTGGGTGGGGGCTAGGGAGGCTGGGAGGTAGTTTAGCATAGAGGGCTCGGTCCGAGTGGGATGCATGTTTGGGGAAGGGCTCTGAGAGCAGCGCCAGGAATGGCCTAGCTGGGGCCGAGGGAATGGAGGGAACTCAACAGGACATGGGGACCTCCACAGTGGCTGTTCCTGGGGACTCTGCCTCCACCTCTCCCCTGGCGAGCTCACACTCTTGGTTCAGTTATGCTAACTTCTCCACTTGTGATTCCTCTGGCACCTCTCACCACCACTTGCCCTAGACAGAGCCCCATGTCACTCCTCCATACCTGGCCTCCTGTGTCCCTGTCTCAAACTGGAGCCAGAAACCTGGGAGTCACCTGCAGCCTATCCTTTTCCTGCCCCATCTAATCAATCTCCAGTTCTTGACACGCTGCCTCTTAAATATCCCCGGAATCTCTCCATGCCTCTCCACCCCTCTGCCCCTCCCTGAGCTCAGGCCACCACCAGCTTGCATTTGATTGCTGCAGCAGCCTCTTCGCCGGCCTCCCACCCCATCCAGTTTCTCCTCCCACTAGCCTTTCTCCACCTGGCAGCCAGAACAAGCTCTCAGAAACACAAGTCCAACTGTTCAGCTTCTGCTGAGGAATCATCCGTGGCTTACTACTGCCCTGGGAATAGGTCCAGTCAAACCCTCTATAACCTTATTCCTAACCACCTGCCTATCTAACTTCTCTGTGTCTTTCAGGGCTCAATTCAATGCCCTTTCTGCCAGGACACTCCCCATGACCTCCCCACTGCCCAGCATGGGTTAGCAACCCCTCCTAGGAACTTCCTTATACCTAGCATCTGTTTACCTTCCTGTTTCTCATCTGGACTGGGAGCTGCTTGGGGGCAGGGACTGTACCTGATTCATCCAACACACAGCCTAACACATGGGATAGGTGCTCAATGGATGTTTGTTGAATGAATAATTCAAGCAGCTCTTGACCTTGTGGTTCAGAATAGCAGCTAGAGCTCCAGCCATCACATATGTATTCCAGGCAGTGGAATGGAGAAAAGGATGAAGAAGAAGGCAAAGGATCGGCACCAACTCCCTTTTAAGGACAGTTCCCAGAAGTTGTCACATGACACTTCCACATGCATCTCATTAGCTTGAACTTAGTCACATGACAAGACCCAGCTGCAAGTGGAGGCTGGGAAATGCAACTTCCATTCTAGACAGGCACATGTCCAGCCAAGAACCAAGGGCTGTACTGCCGTAGGGAGAAAAAATATCCAAGGACAATTACCTGACTCCACCAATGAAAGGGCAGATAGATTGATGGGATGAGCACTACTGTGTGCCAGGCTCTGTGCTAGGCACTTTACATATCATATCTTGCCCTAACCCTAGCAAAGGTTATTATTATCCCTGACCCACAAAGGAGGCTTGGAGAGTTAAGCAACTTGCCCAAGGACACACAGTGAGCTGTGTCAGAGCTGCAGTTGAAGCCTGTCTTTTCCCTGCACACCACCCTGGCTGGAAAATCAGGAGAGGGTGGGTCCCAGGAGCTGCTGGAAGGAAATCTTTCAACACGGAGGGCCTGGGCAACAGTGTCAGATGACGGGCTAAGTGTCCGCTTGGATCTGGCAACAAAGACACTATTGGCGACCTTGGCAAGGGCATCAAGGAGATGTAGTAGGGTGGAGGCCAGTTGCAGAGGGAAGAGTGCACTGGTCTTCCTGGAAGCGGCAATGAAGGGAGAGTGGGGAGAGCCGCAGGGGGACGTGGGCCAGGAGGAGGCAGAAGAGGGGAATGAAGGCAGCAGCGGGAGGAGAAGGGGCAGTTTCTGCCAGAGCTGTCTGGGCTGGGCAGCAGGTTTTAATGCAGGCGAGGAGCCCTTTCCTGCTGGTTCAGGAGGGAGGGGGCAGGAGGTACAAAAGCAGGTGGGGCTGGAGAAGGGAGGGAGGGCAGAAGAGGGAGTTCCTGTCTCATAAAATCCCAGAGAGGGTTCTTGGCTGGGAGAAGGGCGAAAGGCCAAGGGCCTGAGGGAGATGGGAGGGGCTAGCCTGTGTTGTTTAATCTGGTCACCACTAGGGCATGTGGCTATTCGAATTAATTAAAAGTAAATAAAATAACAACTTCAGCTCCTTGGTTGCACTGGCCACATTTCAAGTGCTCCGTGGCCACCTGTGGCTACTGGATACCACATCGGGCAGTGCAGATAGAGGACGTTCCCACGATGGCAGGGAGTTCCAGTGGATGGTGCTGGTCTAGGCAGAGCATGGTGATGGAGGTGCCAAGAGACCCTACGTGGCTCCAGACCGGAGGTCATGCCCACAGCAGGGCCCCTGCGGTATCCTTCCACGCTCTCTCCAGTCAAGACCCTCCTCTCCTCTTTGGGATTCTCTCAGATCCCCCTCCTGGAACGGCCAGCCCCTTCCTCCCCAGTGTTTCTTGAGGCCACTGCTGGGGTTCTCTACTTATCCCTGTGCCAGGCCTCTCACAACCATGGGAGGGGCTTGTGGAGGATTGGGACAAGTGCCAGTGTCCTGTGGGGCCATGACAGAGGCCCATGGGCAGAGGCGAGCTGGGCTCACTGCTAGCCACTAGCGCATCCAGAGGGATCTCAGAGATTGCCGGCCCCACATTTCACACGTGGGCACACAGAGTTTCAGAGAGGTCTGGACAGAAAGCACAGAAGGCGGAGGTTTGTCCTCGTTCCTTTTATTATACCCCACCCATGGCTTTCGCCAGACCTTGTGTTCAGACAGAGCCAGGCAGGCCTTGGGAGTGGGGGCCGAGCCGCAGGCAGGAGCCCAGCGTCTGGCTGAGGCTCCCACCCAAACCCGAGGTAGCTGAGTGAGGGTTCATGGCTAGAAGGGCTGTCCTGGCCAGACACACCTGGGGAGAAGCATTTCCCCATGGAGGTGACATGGCACAGACCATGCGTCTGTGCTAGGGGTGTAGTGTGTTCAGATGGTTGTGTTTGTAGGCCCCACACTGTTCAGATACACTGTGCGGATGGACAGCTGTGTGCACGTGGGTGGTGTATACGTTAGCTTGTGTGCATGAGACACCATGTGACACGTGGGCACACTACACACACGCTGGGGGTGTTTGAGACCCTGCTCGTGCCTGCACCTGCCAGGTGGTGCAGGCCCAGGGCTAAGTCTGGCGCCCGATCAGGAGCGTAGAATCAGAAAGCTCTAGGACAGCAGTTCTTAAACTTAGGTCCCAAAATGGCCTGGGGAGTTTGGTGTCCATGCAGATCACGTGGCCAACATTGGAGCTTCTGGTCCAAGAGGCCTAGGGTGGGCCCAGGCGTCTGCACTGTCAATAAACTCCCGAGGGAAACCTGAGGCCAGGAAGAGACAGAGCTGTCCAATAGAACTTTCTGCAATGGTGAAAGTGTTCTGTGCCGTCCAGTGTGGCGGCCACTAGCCACATATGTCTACTGAGCAGTTGAAATGTGGCTAGTTAGATTGAGGAACTAAATTTTTTATTTTATTCAATTTTATTTAATTTAAATTTAAATAGTCACCTGTGGCTAGTGGCTGCCACATTGGAGAGCAAAGATCTGGGGAAATTGAGGCAGTGGATGGACAATGAGGTCCCAGAGAGAGAAGCACAAAGCCAGGGTGCAGGTGTGTCAGAGGGACCCTTCCCAAACAGGAGTGGCTGAGACTGGGGGTGTGTGGTTGGAGTCAGAGCCCAGAATTGCACAGGTCTCTCCTAGCGTCCACCTTGAGCTGCCAGCAAACTGGTGTCTGCCTGGCTGACAGGGAGACCCCGGAGAGTCCCAGCCTGAAGCCTCGCACTGCATCCAGCCAGGAGCCAGGGCTGGAGGGTTAGGATGTCTTCATGTTCTCCTGCAGGCCCAGGGTGGAGCTCGTGGCTGCATGGTCTCGCTCGCCCTGTGTGCGCATTGCGGGGGATGGAAGTCAGCCCTGGGGAAGCAGCTGACCCCCCCAACACAGACCCATGGGCCTGAGGCCTTTGAAGGACCGACTCTGGAAGCTCTCTTACCACCCCTGGCCCCATGTCCTCTGCGTATTTGAACTTCTTCTGCTTGTAGTAGTGCCTCTTGGGCAGGATGTGGAGCAACAGCAGGTCACAGAGAACCGTAGCCTGGGGACAGGGAGGGGCGTGGGTACAGCGTGGGAATCTGGGGCTGGGTACAGAGCCCTCCAGGTCCCTCCTCAGTCCCTGCTGACGCCGGCCCTGGAGTGGCCCTGGCTGAAGCTGCCCTTCTGTAGACCTCAGTTTCCTGGTGGGGGGACGAGGTACCGCAGGACCCTCAGGGATCCAAGACAGCCCCACCCCAGCTCTGTCCTGCCCCAGCGCTGGGCCTCAGCTTTCTTAGGTACACCATGGGTCTTGGGTGGAGGGCTGGGCAGCTGCTGGCTCAATAATGATCAACAGTTAGGGTTAAGTTTTGGGGTGAGGGGCTTGCTGCTACTGAGAGGCAGAAGAGGAGGGGCTGATCTCAGCACAGTGACCCAGTGACCCCAACACTTACCACCCCAAAAATGCCAATCCCAGAGCCGATGGTGGTCATTGTGGGGATGATATCAAACTTCCCTGCCTGGTGGTAGGACCCAGGGGGAGAGAAGGGTCACAGTCAGAAGGGGCCAGGCCGGAAAAGGCCAAGCCTGGGACAAGGGGCTTCCCCACCCCTTGGCTGTGAACTTTCCCCACCACCTGCTCGCAGGGCCCTGACTGTACACCTGGAACCAGCTACCAGGCAGTAGACCTGGGTTTTGACCTTGGCTCTGCCTCCCTGGACCCAGAGAGATCGTTGGGGAGGCACAGTCACGGGCTGTGAAGCCCTGCCCTCAACATCCCCCAAGCCCCATCTGTCATCGGAAGGAACCCACCTGTTGTCCATAACTACAGACACTCACAGGAACCGAGAATGTGTCTCAGCTGCCAACCCCCTCACTCTGGGTACTCACCTTGCCATCCACCAGGATGTCAAAGCGAATCCCAAACACTTTGAAGAGGTGACGGTAGTTGGTCCTGTTCTCCATGAAGTGCCTGGCAAACCTTGGGAAGGGATGAGGTAGCAGGAGGCTGATGGACAACTGTCTTGGGCCTGGCGTCCTCAGAGCATCAGGGTTTTAGGAGCCCTTAAAGGTCTGTGAACACAGCCCCGTGCCAACCCCAGGCAGGCTCCCAGGAACGCTGCGCTCAACTCTAGCCCCAGCTCCAGATGTTAGCAATTTCCCCAGCCAGTCCCGGCCAGGTGAGCCTCAAGGGGACTGAGACCCAGGGGCAGGGGGTTCAGGCCTCCAGGGTCTTGCTCCCTGCTGGCTTCCTGCTTGGCCGCCCAGGCAGAATGGGAGCTTCCCGGGGTCCTCTGCTTCCCTCTGGGGACACTTGCTCAGCCCCACAGGGGGTTGAGAGTAGAAAATCTCACAGGACCACAAAGAAGGATGCGCTGGAAGGCACCTGAAGTTGAAGCCTCGAGACAGATTTTTCTCCTCATACAGCCCATGGAATTGGTAGATGGGTTTGCAGTGTCGCACATGCCAGTCCAGGTCACAGTGCCAGTCGATAGTGATGCCGACCACTCCACCCTAGCAAGAACGCAGGCATTTACGATCTGGGATTTTAAGATCAAGAACTTCCTGTCTTACACCTGGTACCAGCACGTTCTCAAAAAGGGAACAATCTTGTTTGAAAAAAGACACTGAAACACTGTTTTGGGGTAGAGGGCCTGCCACCCTCTCTGGCCTCACCACCCACCCATCACACTCCACACCCCAGCTCTCGGACCATTTCTAGAATACAAGTTCTTCCTACCTCAGGGCCTTTGCACGTGCTGTTCCCCCAGTTTGCCACAATCCTGGCTCTTTCTCATCCTTCCCTGACCACCACTCCCAATCTAAAATATGTCCTTGTTATTCCCTCCAGTTGTGGGAAGAACTGTGTGTTTTCTGTCGGAACACTTGTCACTTTGTAATCAATCATGTATTTATTTTGTGTGATTATTTATTAATGCATCCCCTCCAGGACTGTAAGCTCTAGGAGGACAGAGCTGTCTGTCCATTTGTCACTGACTCCTCAGTTCCTAGCACAAGTCACAGTGTGGGAGGTAAGCAAATAGTTGTGGAATGAGAGAGCGAGTCTGTGAAAATGTGGATTGGGAAGGGAACACTTGAGGAAGTAAAGTTCCTCTGGGTGGGGCAAGCAACAGGGATGGGTGGGGGAGGGCTGAGTAACAGGGGAAGAGTTGGGAGGTGGGCAGAGAAGGGGGCAGGGAGCTGGGCAACCTTGTGGGAGGCTGGTACTGAGAAATTTCAGGTGGGGGATGGCAGGGAGATCTTTAGGAACAGGGTGGGGGTGGGTAGTGTCTAACGTGCAGTTTTTAGGTCATACATGTTGCTACGGTGTAAACCACTCCGGGGGCAGCCAGCTGAAGCCTTGAGCCAAATCTGGCCACGTCCACTGTTCACAGATTGCCTGTGGCTGCTTCTGCCCTGCAACAGCTGACTTGGGTGGTTGGCACAGGACCATACCGCCTGCAGAACTGACAATATTTACCATCTGGCCCTTGAAAGAAAAAGTTTGCTGACCTCTGCTGTAGACAAATGTGTTGTGAGTGGGTTTTGGTTTTGGGAACATCACAGAAAAGGGACTGATTTCCATCCCTGAATAGGCAACTGCAAGAGCAGGGATGATAAGGAACACGTGGGAACAGGTACGCAGGATTGCCACATGCTAGGCGGTACGGAAGTGCAGTCACAGGTATGAACTCACTCCATCCTCCAGACAACCCCATGAGACTGACACCATTATTGTCCTCACTTGACAGGTGCAAAAGCTCAGGCATGCTGAAGTTAAGAGTCTTGTCTGAGGTTGAGCTGCTCGTTGGGGCAGAGCCGGGATTTGAACCCAGCCAGCCAGGTCTGCGCTCATTAGAAGCTACTGCTGCTCTCGGAAGCACAGGTGGCTGTGAGGCTCTTAGGGATTTCTCGGGGCCAAAGGCTATGGGATTCAAGTTGTTTTATCTAATGTTTTTAAAATAGCAGGACCTCAGCAAACAAGAAGGTGCCAATGCTGTCCACGTCCATTCATTCTGGGCACCTCCCTTGTGCCCAGGTCCACGCCAGGCCCCACAGAAGGAAGACACAGATCTGGCCCCAGTATCAGGCGACAGACCTGTACATATACTCAGCCCACAGCAGGGAGGCTTGGGAGGATTAACTGGGCCTGAAAAGCCTTATTATTAATACAATCCTGGGGCCCAGCACTCCCCACTTGCCTGGCACCATCCCCATACCTTCTCAGCCAGGGCGCTAAAATCCTGGCCCGACTCTTGCACCACATAGCCCAGCTTAAAGACAGGGCACAGAGGGTGCAGGGTCTTGTGATAGAGGCACGTCCTCATGTAGGCAGCATCCACCTCCTCCACCAGGTTGCGCCTATGGGGATGGAGGACGTTGGCAGCAGCAATGTGCCAGCTGGGAGGGTGCCCACCATGCCCCCAAGCTCTCGGGATCCCTCACGGGTCCAGCATGCCCCCTCGGCAGCCCACCCCAGGGGCCTGGCCCGGGTTTCTGCCTCCAGAGCGAAACCAGCAGGAATGGCGGGGAGCCAGAGACAGTTGACACCAGCTGGAGCAGCCTCAGGAAGCCGCCTGCATTTCTGCCTACATTTCCCACGAACCTGTTGACCTTGAAGCGTGGAAAGCTGATGCTGTTCTTGATGAAGAGAGTGAAGTTCTCGGCCTCTCGCAGAAGGGCAGGGCTGGAGGAGACCACACTCACTCACCGCACCTCCCCAGGAGTCCCCCCTGCGTGCCCCACGCAGAGCTTGGCACAGTGGGGGTGGTGGGGGCGGTGAGAGCATGCAGGGTCTTCCTGCAGCCTGGGTCAGTGAGGGGTGGGTGCGCTGTAACGCTGAACTCATAAGCCTCTGACCAGGGGACAGGGGGAGTCTTGGCCTGGGCTGCACAGATAGGTGAGGGGGGGTCAGAGAAAGAGGAGACAGATCCTTTTTAGATCAGATCCCCCTCTGTCTGGACTGGGGACCCTGTTCCCAGCTCCCTGGAAGGACAGGGCGTTACCGCGGGACATTGTCATCCACTTCCACGGGGCACCAGCCGAAGATCTCACATGTCTGCACAGTGTCATTGAAGGCCACACACTTGCCCGTGCGGATGCCTAGAATGAGGGAGAAAGCCCTGGGAGCGCCCCCAAGCCAGGGGTGCAGAGGAGGCCCCCCGGTCCCCTCCTCCAGGAGCCCCCAGTGATGGACAACCCAAGAGAGGGAGGACAGAAAGCGACTGAGTCCGGGATAAGGCAGGCCAAGCCAGGCGGCAGGGGGTAAGAGAGCGGGAGGGACTAGGGAGTCCCCTAGTGAAGGACAAACTTGGCAGGAGGACAGCAGGCCCTGGGGCTGTGGGGGCTGACGAGGGGACAGGAGGAGGCCGATCTTACCTTGGGCCTTCCTTTCTGCCTTCCCAGGGGTGCAGCCACTGTCATCCCTGCACAGGCCCCCCTCCGGGTGCTGGGGGATGGGAGAGCTGCTGGCCCCAGGCCCCTTGGGTAGGGTCCTGAGAAGAGCCTCCCCCCACCCCCAGGGGCCTAAGGAAGGCGTGGGACAGAGTCTCAGACCTCTTCAGGGTGACCTCCGCTCACAGCCTCCATCCCCCCACACTGCTCTGCCAAGGACCCCTCTGGGCTCATGCCCGGCTAGCCATTGCCAATGTCAGCTGGCAGAGGGTAGGGACTTGGGGCATGGGGGAGGCACTAGGACTCGGCCTCCTGCTTGGCACCCAGCTGGGAGGGGAGGCTCAGCCCTGCCATGGCTGACGGTTACTTTGTGTGAATCCGTGTCTGAGATTCCACCATCCTGCCCCTGCAGGGAGCCTATCTGGCTTCACCTCCAATGCCCATGGGGACCTCCTCTCCATGTCATTTTCCCCTGTGGGTCCAAACAGGGGGGGTGGGCAGAAGTCCTCACCTCTGCGCAGTGGCCTTGAAACTGATGTGGCGTCACGATGAAGTTGGTCATGACCACAAAGGAGCCGTCTCCCTGGAAGTGAGGGGCAGAGGGAGGGTGGCGCAGGGCTGGGAGCTGGGAGAACAGCCTGAGAACCCACACACTGCCCCAGCAGGCCCCTAGAGCCCACCCACACAACACCCAGCAGCCTCTGTACCCCACAATGTCAAAGTGGGGTGACGTTACCAGGCTGCTTCTGCCCCTCCTTCATGGTTAGGGAAACCAAGGTCCAGAGAGAGAGAGGAGCTCGACTGGTCCCACGGGGAGGTGGGACACCGCTTCACCCAGCTCTGAGCCAGGCCCTGCAAGTGGAAGGTGCAGCCCTGAGCCGCCTCACCTGGGTGGGGAAGACGTAGTCAGCCACGTCCCAGACCTGGGGGCCGAGGCCCGGGAGCCGGGTCACCGCCAGGCCCTTGAGCTTCACAGATACGCTGCTGATGAGGCCACTGGACGTCTGGTAGCCCTTCTCGTAGACAAACACCCACCTGGGGAGCAGGGGCCATGGGGAGTTGTGGTTCTGGCACCAGCTGGACGTGTCATGGACTTACCCTGGCTGTCCCTGGTGCATCTCTGAGACCTGTCTGCTCCTAAAGCTCCTAAGTCTTGGACAGCAGGCAGAACAGCCTCGCCTGCCGCCCCCTGCCGGCCTGTGCCTGAAGTCCCACCGTTCTTTTCACTATGAAAATACCAATTCCCAGGGAGGAGACCTACTGAACGATGCTTTCAGATCCTTTTCCACGAGCAGAGTTTGCTGGGACCTGGAGGCCAAGCCTCTTGGACCCCAATCCTTCTTTCAGGGAGCTCCTTCCTTCCTGAGGTCCTCCCCCCAAGAGACAGAAGAGCATGCTGGCCGAGAGTCCGACCTTTGGTGCCCAGCAGCCTGGATCTGAAACCCAGGTCCCCTACTCACAGGCTGTGTGATTTGGCGTAAGCTAGTAAATCCCCCTGTGCCTCAGTTTTCTCGTCTATAAAATGGGAATAATAATGGTACTGTGGTGGTGGTTAAATGAGTTAATGCATGTAAAAACACTTAGAATGGGGACCAGCACACAGTAAGTGCTGTATAGACATAAGTTATTATTATTATCCCAGCCATGCTGGGATCCCCTGGGAAGGGGGACAGGAAGGGAAACAGAGTGGGGAAGTGGCCCTCTGAAGGGCTTGCAGCATCCAGCCCCCCGAATGAGGCCCCTGTGGGAGTGGCTCGGGCTAGAGGTCTCCCAGCTTCTTGGGAACTTCTGCCCTTCCCTTCCCAGCATTCAGAACTCCTGTTCCTTTGGGTTCTCCACTTCCAGTCCGGAAGGTTCAGTGGGGCTAACCTCCCTCCCAGGCCCAGGGATGGGCACATGACCTGGGGAGTTTCAGCAGTGAGGCCAGGGTTTTTCCGGGAATTACAGGGAAAGAAACATCCTCTCTGCTGGGTGGCTAAGCAGGGCAGCTGCAAGACTAAAACTGTGGTTAGTCATTTTGCTACCTCATGGAGACAGCAAGCCTGAGAATGATGCCCACCTAGAGAAAAGCCACACCAGGAGATGGAGAGGGCCAGACTCTTGGCAATACTGTTTGAACACCTGGATCCAGCCATGCCTGAAGCATCCTTGAAAAATCCACTTCTGGACTTTTCAGTTACATAAGCCAATAAATTCCCTTCCTTTATTTAAGCCAGTTTGCATTTGATTTCTGTTGCTTACAAATGAAAGAGTTCCAGATAATATTTGTCTCCAGGGTGTGATCCTCCTTCCGGAAACATTCTTCATGGAGATTTAAGGGGTGTGTGTGTGTTGCGCGTGCATGTGCGAGTGCATGTGTGTGTGTGGTGCACACTGAGGTGTGTAGTTGTATACTTCTAGGGCAAATCTGTGAATGCACCTGTGGGTAGATGTGTCATGCCCCCTCGACCCCTTACCCTACCCCAAGCTCACCTGTCCAAGCAGAGCTCCAAGCCATGCACTCCTCTCTCCTGTCCCCCAGGGCTCAGGCCTGGTAACAGAATTCTCCAGGCCTCGTAGACCCAGAGTCACCACCAGCTGTCCAGGGCTGTCTCCCTGCTCCAGGCCCCGGGGAGGCAGCCTACCAATGTCCTCTTTTCCCCTCCCATAGTCACCCCTTCTCCAAGCCCCTCTCTCACCCTGGCACTGGAGCCAAGGCACACACTCCCTAAGGCTAAGCATGGTCACTGCTGTCCCCTGCAGGTCCCAGATAGCAACAGGTGAGGCAGGATAAAGGTCCTTGATTCTCAGTGTGCTGAGCCTGCCGCGCTGCCCCCAGCCCTATCAGGGAGAGTGAGGGCATCACCCATCCCCCCACGCTCCTTAGGTCCCTTCTTCCAGGAAGGCCTCTGGCTCTGTGCCCAAGCTTGAAGGAGCTGTTGCAGGGCTGAGGAGGAGCTGCTCCATATTCTGAACCCCTTTGCAGGAGATGCCACTTCCCTCCCTCTTGGCACCCCTCCCTCCAACATCCTAGCGACATTTCTCTCTTTGCGCAATACCAACTCGTAACATAGTTGAGGAAACTGAGGCGTGGGGGAGTGTCCCTCCCAAGAGTCGGAGGCCAAGCAGGGAGCAGCCCCTTGGCTTGAGGTCACCAGGACTCTGCCCACTTGCGCTGAGCAGCACTGGCTTCAACATTCTCCCAGGAGCCGGAGCACAGAGGGCAAGCAGAGCCACGCTGAGCCTGCGTGCTGGGGCTGATGCAATGTTTCCAGGCTGCGTCCGCCCCTGGTGCTGCCGGTCTTGAGGGTCAAAGGGAAAAGTCCAATTCGGCATTAGTGACCTCAGTTCTGGTAATAATATTAATAGAATGACTATGGTGCCAGGCCCACTCCTCTGAAGCCGTGCCTTGTGACCTGGCCTTGTCACTACTCAGGAAGGCCACCGAGGGGCCCTGATGTCAAAGACACTGGCATCTTCAGAAGCCGCTCCTCTTCCAGAAATAATCTTTCCCAGGCTTTCTGCCTGGTCCTCAGCATCACCCTGTCCTGGCGCTCTCTTCCTATAGCCCTTCCTGGAAGAGGCCACATGGCGGAGGGGCCAAGGGTTGGGTATGAGTCCTGCCGCTCCCCAACTGGGTGGCTTCGGGGTAGAGACTAAACCTCTCTGGGCCTTGGTTTTCTCAGTAAAACAGAGGCGATGGCACCTACCTCAAGGTGCTGCTCACTGAATAAATATTTAGGAAGGCCCTGCTATGTACTCAGTCCTGGGCCCCAGGGAGACAAAAGCATCTAGTTAATTGTTGGGGGGAAGTTTCTATGAGTTCTCTTTAAGGAAATTAGCACAGTATATGGCATGCAATAGGCACATACTAACTAAAACCTCCTATTTTCACAATCTCTGGTCCTCCTACACTAATTCCTCTTTCAATGTCAATCTGCCCCCAATCACCTGGCTTCCACTCACAGCCCCGGCAGACCCCCCAGTGAGCTGTCATAGACACGCTGCATCCCCAGATTTCTAGCTCCAGATTTGCACTCCCGCTGAGATTCAATTCCACACGTTCATTTAGTCATTCAACAAATATGTATTTATGAAACCTCTATTATGTGCCAAGCACTGGTCTAGACACTAAAAATATAGAAGTGAACAAACAAAATCTTGCACTCAAGGAACTTATACAGATGCTCCTCAGCTTACAATGGGGCTACATCCCAATAAACCCATTGTAAGTCAAAAATGCACTTAATACCCCAATAAACCCACCACAAAGTCAAAAAATTGCAAGTCAAACCATCATAAGTTCAGATGTCCCTCAACTTATGATCAAACTCATCTTAAAGTCGAAAAATTGTGAGGTGAACTATGCAAGTCAGGAAGCATCTATATATAAAAGTCTACATCTCCAACTGGACTCAGACATCTTACAGGTACCTAAGGCTCAACTGGACCCTTTCCGAAACAGTCCTGCAATGCCTCAAAAAGTTAAACATGGCATTCCATTTGACACAGCGATTCTACTCCTAGGTATATACCCAAGAGAAATAAAAACTTATGTCCACACAAAAACTTGTATACAAATATTCATGGCAGCATTAGTCATAAGAGCCAAGAAGTGGAAACAACCCGAATCTCCATCAGCCAATGAATGGATAAACAAAATGTGATCTATCCATAAGATGGAATATTATTTAGCTATAAAAAGTAATGAAGGTATGGTGGCTTATGCATGTAATCCCAGCACTTTGGGAGGCCAAAGCAGGAGGATTGCTTGAGGCAAGAAGTTTAAGACTGGACAACATATCAAGATCCCATCTCTACAAAAAAATTTTTTTTAAATTAGCTGGGCATGGTGGCACTTGCCTTAGTCCTAGCTACTCAGGAGGCCAAGGCCAGAGGATTGCTCGAGCCTAGGAGTTCCAGGTTACAGTGAGCTATGATCATGCCACTGCATTCCAGCCTGGGTGACAGAGCAAGATCTTGTCTCTTTTTTTTCTTTTTTTTTTTGGAGACAGAGTCTCACTCTTTTGCCCTAGAGTGAGTGCCGTGGCATCAGCCTAGCTCACAGCAACCTCAAACTCCTGGGCTCAAGCGATCCTCCTGCCTCAGCCTCCCGAGTAGCTGGGACTACAGGCATGCGCCACCATGCCCGGCTAATATTTTCTATATATTTTTAGTTGTCCAATTAATTTCTTTCTATTTTTAGTAGAGATGGGGTCTCGCTCTTGCTCAGGCTGGTTTCGAACTCCTGAGCTCAAACAATCCACCCGCCTCGGCCTCCCAGAGAGCTAGGATTACAGGCGTGAGCCACCGCGCCCAGCCAAGACCTTGTCTCTTAAAAAAAAAAAAATTTAATGAAGACTAATATAGGTTACAACCAACCAACATGGATGAACCTTGAACACATTACAGCAAGTGAAAGAAGACACAAAATACCACATTTTGTATGATTCTATTTGTATGAAATTTCCAGAATGAGCAAAGTAGGCAGTGAAGAGGAGAAATGGGGGAAGGGGGTGATTGCTAAGTGGTATGGGGTTTCTTTTTGGAATGATGAAAATGTTCTGGAATTACTTGCACAACTATCTAATACGATGGTTGCACAACTTTGTGAACATACTAAAAACAACAGAGCTGTGTTTTTTAAAAAGGGAGACTGTTATGGTGGATGAAATCTATCTCAATGCAGAGTGCTAACCACTGTACAAACAGAAATTCACCTGGACCATCCTAAACTCATCTCCTCTTAGAATTTGCTCCTCCTGTGTTCTTGTCATAGAGGATGGTGCTGTCCCTATCCTGTCCCCCAGGCTCAACGCCTGGGCATCATCCTCACAGCCACCCTTCCCATGGTGCCCATGTTCTTTGGGTCCCTCAGTCCTTCCTGTCCTCCGCTGGCCTTCATCGAAGGGTCCAGAGGGGCCAGGTGTGGGGAGGCTGAGACATGGGAGGAGCTGGGGCAGGTGCTGGGGGCAGCTCTGGCACCAGGCTGGGAGGACAGGTCAGGTGGATGCTGGGACACAGGGGCCACAGGCAAGAGTTGACCTGATGGGGCGCAAGCTGTCAGGCAGCAGCAGCCTTGAGGAGGGGCAAGACCAGACTCCAGGCCTGGGAGGGACCTGAGCTCAGAGCTGGGGCCCACACTGGGGGCTCAGAGGTTAATAAACACGTAACCTGCAGACAAGTCAAGCCAACAATGTGTGCTTTTAAATTCTTTGAATGAGTTGCCAACCTCTAAAAACCAAGAGGTTTCTTTCACACATGAATTCCAATTTCCCACTTCTCTTGAGAAGTCAGAAACTCTGGCCGTGCTGGGTGCATGTCCCCCCATGGCGATGATGGACAGAAGCTGAGCAGTGGCCACCCCAGGAGTGGGGCCTGCAGGATGATGACATCTGTCCTCCATGCTCACTGCCTCTGCCTTGGGTACAACCTCACCCTCTCTTCCCATCACTGCTGCCTCTTCACAGCTGTCCTGCACCCCAGTCCCGCCCCTGTAGCAGTCCTCCATGGCTCCCTGCCACCGGCAGGAGAAATCCCATGCTCCTCAGCCCAAGGCCCTGCTCAGCCCTCCACATCCTCTCCCTTGGGCTCCTTTTATGCTCCCTTCAGCATGGTCTTTGTGACTGTTTTTCTGGGACCTTTGTTCACACTCTGCTCGTCCACGGGGCCTGGACCAGGAGTGGGCACACCCGGGCTCCTCCAATCAGGGCATTCCATTTCCTCGACCACAATGATTGGTTCTTGGCTGGGCACATGACTCGACCCCAGCCAATAAGAGCTGGACTGGGGCTCTTGCTGGAACTCTGGAGAGGCACCCTGTGCCATGGGGATGGCTCAGCTGGTGAAATGTGACCTTGGAGCTGCTGGTGGCCATTTTGCCACTGTGAATGAAGCCTCCACAGGGGACAGCAGAGCAAGAAGAGGAGCCAGATCCTGGATAGCTTCCTTTGAGAACCCAGACTGGACCAACCTGCATTCCTCATCTCCCCACAGACCTTCCTCCTCCTCTGCCCTCATCCTGGGGGGTCCGGCCAGGCCTGAAGGCCACACTGATTTCTCAGATAAACCTCTCAATGCCCCGATGCTTCCTTTAAATCCTGTTTGACTGAACTTCTGACACAGGAACCCGAGGAGTTCTGGCTAACTCATCCTCAGCTCTGCGCTCTCCCTCTGGCCACCCCGTGTCCCGGCACAGCACTAGGCACAGAGAAGATGCTGCAGAAATGGCCCCGGTGCGTTTCTCTCAGCAATAATTTGTATTTATCCTTATCCCTGATTGAGGAGCTCCATGATCCACTTGGAGATCTCAGAACGTGAGATTTGAAGAGCTCTGTGTGGAGGCGCAGGGGATGAGGAGGACTAGGATGAGACGAGGCCCAGAGGGGCTGGAGAGAAAGCTGAGAGCAGACCTCCCTTGCCTATAGCCCCAGGCCTTGGCTCATCACTGGTTCTACCATCATGTCACCACCTCCAGGAAGGCTTCCCAGGTCCCCCCCTCCAGGCAACATTCACAAATCCCTTTGGGGACCCTCCTGTGTGCTGCAGCCAGACCACCCCTCTCCTCTCCCAACCCGAGCACCCCAGGCAGGAGCATGTCTGAGCATAATCCTAGCATGAGCCTGCTGGCTCATGGATGACAGCACACCTCCAGGGACAGAGAGCTCATCACCTCCTAGGGGACAGCTCTAACAATGAGGCCATCTTAAATAGAGCCAAAAGAGCATCATCTTCTAGAGTCTCAAGGCCCATTTGCTCCCTGCACTTGCACTTCCTGGAAGAGCACGACCATAGAGATCACAGCCTCAGCTTCCCTCTTCAGAGTCTGGCTGGGTTCTCAGCATCTCAGCCGCTCTGCCTCTGCCTCGGTGACTCTCTCTCCACCTCTAGGTCTCAGGGCCTCTCTCCCTTCATCTGAATCATTGTGCTCCTGTGTTGGTCCCTCTGTCCAGTTCCGTCTCTGTGTCTACCCATCCCCCACCTAGGCTTTGTCACATCTCTGGGGCCCGGAGGTCTGGCTGCTCTTCTCTGTCCCTCCTCTGTCCCCCAGCAATGCCCCACAGGGCGAGACATGCAGACAGACATCTGGGAAAGGAGAGGGAACTTAAGCAGAGCCCTCTTCAGGAAAGAGCAAACTGCCATGCTGAGTGCAATATCTTTAGAGAGGTCACTCCAATCCCTGCCCCATGGAAGAACAGTTGGAAAATTGAGGCCTGAGATGTCAAGACCAAGTCCAGGCTGGGTTGGGATTTGGTGTGCAATTGCGGGCTCCCAGCTGAGAGGTCAGTGCAGCACCAGGCAGCTGCCAGACGGGGGCACCAGAGGCAGCAGAAGCCACAGCCCAGGCGTGAGCTGAACGCCTGGGCTCCAGGTATGGTAGGGGCACCATGCCTTCCCACCTCTGCTCTGTGACTCAGGCAGGTCAGTGCCCCTCTCTGGGGATGCTTCCTTTCCAGGATATCAAGGCTGACTTTGGAGCCATACAGATGCAGCTGGATTCAAATCCTGCTTAGCCTCTTACTAGCTGAGAGATCCCCACTACAGCACTGTGCCTCTGAGCCCCGCTGAGAAGAGCTACATCCATCTGGAAACTGATCAGACTGTCTCAGGAGGAAAGAAGGGGAGGAGAGAGGAGAGAGGTAGTGAGGTCCCCATCAGTGCAAGTATGTGCTCAGGGCTGGATGGCAGCTTGGGGCATATGCTGAGGCTGGCGGGGTGGGATGTGGACTGTCCCTTCCACTCTGACAGTCTGTGACCAACACACAAGAGGGCCCTGGTACTGCTCACAGCTGCTGATCTGAAAGCGTAAATAGGGAGCTGTGGGGGTCGGAGTGAGGACAACGTCCTCCCAGCCTCTTTTGAGAAGGGGCAGGCTGGGCCTGAGTGGGCCACCTCTCCCTTGCCTGGAGGATCAGGAATGAAGCTAATGGTGGGCTTTCAGGCCCACCCTGTGCTCGGCATCCCTTCATCAGGGCCCATTAGAGAGGTTCCCCAGAACCCTTGAATCGGTGTGAAAAGGGAGGACTGATCAGAGGCCTGGGGTTCAGGAGGCCTCACCTCTAACCCTGGATTTGCTGCTGACTTGCCATGAACCTGGAAACCCCACTGCTCCTCTCTGGGCCTCAGTTTCCCTCAGAAGCTCAACCAACATCACAGATGTCAAATTGGATTGTGAACAGGAGGGAGGCTAAGTCCTGGCCCTGGCTCCACCTGACCAGCTCTGAGGCCCTGGAGTTTGGGTGGGGTGGTGGGAAGGCTCTTTGGGATGCCAGAAGTTCTGGGGGGACCACTGTTTGGGCCCCTGGTCAGCCTGCCCTGGGCTCCATTTAGCAGTCCTGGTTTGGAACCACAGCAAAAATGGGGACTTGGAGACCAGAGGGGCACAGACCTCAGAATCACTCAGCAAACTCTGGCTGGGGCTTCCAGGCAGCCCCAGGCCCCCAGCAAGGCCTGAGCTCCCTTCAGTGGCCCCGGGGCCTTCAGGAGCCCTTTGCAGAGTCACTGTGAGTGAACATGATGCACCACACACAGGGGACATGCGTCAGGCACCCAGCACCTCAGGCACAGGCAGGCATGGACACAGCCACAAACACACATAAGGGCACATACATGTGGGCACTGAGGCCCAGGGACACACCACTGGGCACTCACCCAGACACATGAGGGCATGTGCATGGACACAGAGCGTCGACATAACACACACATGCCTGCACAAGCACACTCACGTGTGCAAGCCGCTGCCAGGGACAGCCAGACTGATTTCAGGAAAATGGCCTTTGCATGGTCCCCAGGACAGCCAGACTTCAAGAGTCCCATCCTGCTTCTGACCCTGCACTCCTAGCAGGGAGTGAGACAGGTCCAGAGATGTCCAGGAAGGAAGGAATTGTCATCCTAGGACCAGAAGTGACCTCCATCCTCTGCCTGACATGCTGCCATTATAAGGCACCAGGTGTTCAGAATTTGAGGATTTCTCTGCTCCAGGGGACTCAAACATCCCAGGATGTCCCCAATTTAAGCAGGGAAGGTGGTAGGAGAGCCTGTCCTCTCTGGCCTGTAAAAGGGGATGTGGCCTCTCTCTTGGTAGCAGCCTGGTTTGGCGGGAGGTCACAGGTAAGACTCAGTGGCTATGGTTCGTGGGGCCCTGGCCTCGAAGGCCTGTCACCACTTGAAGGAGCCATTAACACTGAGCCGGTTCCTCAGAACCCACAGGACCCGAGGCAGGGCTTCCTTTCCTCCTGCCTCAGTGTCCCCATCTCAACAGTGAGTCAGCAGGGTTTTCTGGTCCTTTCAAATAGCACGGAATCTTGTCGGGAAGGCCTTCCAATGCATAGAGAGAAAGAGGGGCCCCTTGGTGTCGTGGGGGGCAGCCCAGAGCCTGAGGGTTTGGCCTAGGCTGGGGGCTGGTGCAAGAGGGCGGCAGGAGGGGCCCAGACTCACCCGATGACGTAGACCAGAACCACGAGCTGGATCAGTCGGAAGACAACGCCCACCTTCTTGTTGCGCACGAGCACCATTCGGGGAGTGTCGTACTCAAAGAAGAAGGCAGCCAGCTCATCCTGGAGCCGCCGTGCCATGGTGGGCCTGGCTGGGGCTCAGAACTGAGCCCCCTGTGTGGCCTCCGCTCTCAGGGTGAGCGGGGCGCCAACACTCAGGTCGACAGTGGAGCTTCTGGGGGCTTCCTGGCCCCTTAGGAAGAGCAGGGCAGGGCAGGTGGGGCCAGAGGGCAGCAGTTGGACATCAGTTGGAGGACTTGGGTTGGGAGAGAGGATCCTTGGGTGGTCAGAGCAGCTCTTGGCCCCTGGAAGGCAATGGACTGCAGGCCAGCCGCGCCTGTGGACAAATAAATTCCCAAAGATAGACGGGGGCGGGGCTGGTGGGGCCACCCAGGCCCAGCCCCACTGCCCCTCCTGGCTCCGCTTGGGCCCTGCTAAGCCTCCGGAAACAGGAGCTGTTGGCAGGAAACCACCAGCCACCCATCACAGGGGCAAAGATAAAGCTATCAGTCACCCCCCCATGCCACCCTGCACCCCAAACCTGGCGGAACAGAGCTCTGGCCAGGGCCTGGGGGAAGCTGGAGTGGCCTCAGGCTGGAGCCCACCTTCCAAAGCCAGACACCCATCCCTATCCCCACACATCACCCTCCTCCAACACCCCCCCAGAGTTGGCAGCTCAGTCCCTGGGGGCCTGCAGGGAGTAGGGCAGAAGAGGAAGGAGGGCCACTTCCAGTCCCGCTGCCCGATACTTCCTGAGCTCGTGGCAGGAATCCCACCCCTGTCCGTTCAGACCTGCAGTCCCCCCACATCCCCAGGCTGTGGCCCAGTACCGGTCAGTGGCCTATTAGGAAACAGGCCATGCCTCACCGCCTGAGCTCCACACACCCCCCATGACACCCCACGTCCCCCACCCCCGATCCGTGGAAAAATTATCTTCCATAAAACCGATCCCTGGTGCCAAAAAGGTTGGGGACCACTATTGTAGACCACCTTCCGTCTACCCATCCCTCTGAGTCCAAGCCTGGCCTGTGCCCGATCGACCTCAGCACTGGGCTGCCATCTCCTGTCCAACCATCAGAGAGGGAGAGGGGGCAGGCACCCACACAAGTCATGTGCCACATCTGTCACAGGTTGCTGCTGGGGGCCCCAAGACCCAGCCGGGAAAGCCCAGCCTCGGCCGCCCCTGGCTCTGCTACTCGCTGGCTGTGGGGACGGGTGCGTCCCCTGCCTCCCTCGGCCAGCTGCCTCATCTTCCGGCGGGAACGATTAGGGCACTTTCCTCATAGGTCGAGGCTCCTAGGGCATGGGAGCCAACAAAAAGGGGACAGAGAACTCGAGGCCACTATTGAGTGTGGGGTACAGCCCCTCTGCAGTCCCTATCCTCCCCCGGGAAGGCTGGGGTCCCACATTAGCTCTCCGGGGCTAGAGGCCTCCCCAGCACCCCCCCACCCCTCGTTTTGCAGATGAAGAAACTGGAGCCCAGAGAGGATAAATGAGTTGCCCAAGCTCACCCGGGCGGTACTGGAGGTTCCGGCTTGAAGCAGGGCCCCACCTCCCGCAGCCAGTCGAGGTGCCCCACCCTGGGGCTGATAGGGAGCCTTCTTCCTGGCCTTTAGCTGGAAATCGCCTGGGCAGGGAGCCAGGCCGGGCTGCGAATCCCGGCGCTGGCTGAACCAAGCTGCTCCCCTGACAGCAAGGGGTCCCCACAGAGGGCAGGCGCAGGACCCCCTCCCAGCCCCCAGGCCAGTCCCTCCTCCTCAGATAGATCAGCCGCATCCCCCACGCAGGGCTTCTGCCAGCCCAGCAGGAGGGGGAAGGAGAAGCATATCCCGGGCTTTTCTAAGGGAAAATCCAGAGATGTTGGGAGCCAGAGCTGTGGTGGCCACGTCCCTTTGGCCTGATCTTGACCCCAGACAAAAGGACCCGTCCCTTTCCCAGCTGCCCCTGTGGCAGTTAGAATAAGTGGCTCCAGGACACAGGCTGCTTGTGATGGGAAGTGCGGTGGGTGCTGAGGGTGTCTGGGCCATGCCTGGGTCCCTGTGCACCCACCTTTCTCCCTGACGCGCACACTGAACACCGTGTGCCGGGGAGCAGCAGGCACGCGACCGGGGAGGAGGGAAAGGAGGGGGCAAGGACGGAAGTCCGGCAGTCCTTCCCCACTCCACGTCCCTTTCACGCCACCGCCGTCTCCTCCTCCTCTGAGGAGCCAGGCTTGCTGCCGGGCAGGCAGACTTGCCCGGGGCACACGCATGTGCTCCTGCTACAGCCTGGGCCCTGGCCCTGGCCCTCCAGAAAGCAGACTGGCTTGGAGGACTGTCTCATTCGGGGATATTGTCACGTGCACCCCAAAGTGCACCCCAAAGACCCAAATTTATTTTCCTGCTGATAATTCTGCGAGAGCGAGTCAGCCAGCTGACGGACTCAACGTTTCATTCCCTGGTTCTAAAACGCGTCTTTCTGGTGCGAGGCCTGTGCTCTCCCGCCTGCGGCCCCAGCCGCAGCATCCTCAGGCCAGACACCTGTGTCTGTTCTAGGCATTGTGGGGGTGGGGGTGGGCAGCAGGGCAGAGGTCAGAGTTTCACACACTGGAGTTCAGCAGGGTTTTCTTCACAACAGTCCTGTGAGGTAGGTACTAGAGTCCCCATTTTACAGATCAGGAAACTGAGGCTCTGGAAGTTGAGTACCAAGGTCACACACAAGTAGTTCCCGTGTCTGCTGGCGGCTGGGAAGGAGGCTCCCCAAAGTCTGGGGCCTTGGCCCCAAGCCCACTGGAAGACTCCAGCACTTAAGAGCAGCCAGTCCTGCCTTATAAGCCCAAAGGCCGGGTGGCCAGCTCGGATACTGGGCAGGGCCTTGTAGGGAGACAAAGCCCTGCTGCCAAGTGCTCGGCCCCAGGACAGCCTCCCCAGCCTGGCTAAATTTAGCTGTGAGCGTGGAGGGGGCCGGTGCCCGTCATGGAGTCACTGCCCAGGCTTGGAGGCCAGCTCGAGCCCTCAAGGGAGTGGGCACGGGCTCCAACAGGTCTCCTTAGCCACTCAGGGGCCCAGGGTGCAGGGGCCACACTTCAGTCCAACCCCCCACACCTTCTGGGCCTGCCTCAGTGTCCCGGAGACTCCCCCAGTGCCACACAGCCCCTCAGATGCCATCTGGGACAGGAGACTGAGGGAGGGCAGTAGCTTCCTATGGGGGACCCTGGGGGTGCAGCAGTGGCCCCTGGGCTTGGCTTCTCCCCATGGCTCCCTGGTCCTCCCCCCGCCCCGTCTGTATGTCTGCGCCTCAAACCTCTTGCTGCCCTGGATTAAGAGGACTCCTGGGGTGGCCGAGGCCCTGCCCCTCACACACTGAGCACTCACTCAGGAGGTGCCGTCTCCTCTCCAGCATCCCGATGGTGCTGGCACCTCTATACCCACCGGCAGCCATGTGCTGCCTCTCTGGCTCCTGCCTTTTTTTTTTTTAATCAAACTGTGTTGAGGTGTAACACATACAATAAAATGCACCCACTTAGGCACACAGTTTGATGAGCTTTGACAAATGCACGGAGCCACCCCCCAAATCCATCACCCTAGAACGTTCCTTCCTGTGCCCTTGTGCTCTATCTTCCCCCACCCCCAGGCCCGGGCAATCACTGATCTGCTTTGTCGCTACTGATTTGTTCTCTAGAACGGCGGGCAAGTGGAACCACTCGGCAGGAGCTCTGTTCTGTGTGGGGATTCTCTCACCCAGGGTGATTTTAAGCATCAACCATGTGGCTGCCTGTATGGGTAGCTCGCTCCTTCTTATTCTGTTGCATGGACGTAACACAGTTTGTTTATCCTTCAGCTGCCGAGGAATATCTGGGGCCTGTAACGGATAAAGCCGCTGTGGACACTCAGGTGCAGGCCTGTGCGCGCACAGACGTCTTCCTTCCTCCTCCCTGCCTCTGCCTCCACCCTTCCATTCCCTGGCCCTTCCAGCTGCAACCTGGTCCCTCCCACATCGGTGGGGGTACGGGGGTCTGGGGAGCACAGAGTCCTGGTCTCTGGCGGGGCAGGGGGCCCCATGGGCATTTTGGCAGCTGCAGTGAGAAGTGAGCCGAGGCCTGCCTGGGAATTCCCTCCTGGGTGAGCAGCTGGGAGGTGAGGAGACCTCTGTTTACCTTGGCTGCCCCATGCCGGCCTGTGGACTCCATGCTGTGGGCTGGACAGAGCTGGGCTGGGGCTGGAGGCGACACTGCAGGGAAGGCCAGAGACTCACGTGCACGTCCCAGGCCCATCTTAGCGCCACGCACTGCACTGCCTGGCCACCACCATGCGGCACACCAGACCCTCAGAGGGCCCTGGGCGAGGCGCAGCTGCTTCTGGGCCTTGGGCGCCTCGTCTGTAAAATGGAGCCCTAGCCCCTGCTCAGCCCATCTCACAGGGCTGGTTGAAGACCTGGGAGGGGAGGTGTATGAAAGGGTTTTGTGGTCCGAAAGGTCTTATAGAGGGACCATGTGGAAAGTTGAATCCTTCTGCCCACCCGCTCCTGCTGTGAGCTGTGCACAACCCCTGCCCCCGGCCCTGCAAAGAAACGTGGACGCTCGGGAGGGGCCTGCCTCCTCCGTCTCGGCTGGCCTCATGGACCTGCAGCCTGTGCAGCCGCACCAGGCCTGTGCTCAGAGCGGCTCTGTGCTTGGTTTAACGTGCTGCTGTTGCTGTGATCCAGGGCTCCAGGTTTTCATTTTGCAATGCGCCCCGCAAATCATGTAGTTAGCCCTGCCTCTAGTCCTGTGGGCAGGCCCTGAGTCTCCTTCCCAGGACAGCTGGGTAGACGATTAGACGGCAAACTTCCTGATCAATCTTTCCTCCCTCTATGAGGGACACAGGGGACATGGCTCCTCCTTTCCCAGAGCCCCTGCTCCCAGGCAGGTGGGGCCACCTGGGTGCCTTGGTTCTCTCGCAGAGGCCCCTGGGCATTGTGATCAGAGGGAAGCCAGGAAGCCGTGGGGAGGTGGGAGTGGCCTTGAGCCTGGCTTGGAAGGGCCAGGGGTGGGTGGGATCCTGGGGTACGGGGAGGAGAGGGAAACAGCAAGAGAGAAACCTCAGGGAGAGTCGAAGGACCTACAGAACAGCCAGGCTGGGCCCCCTGTGGGGAGCAAGGGGCCCTTGAGATTCAGGGTCTAGGACCAGCCCTGCCCAGGCCAAATCATGGACCCCTCCCAGCCTTCGTTTCCTTGGTGGTGACATGCAAGTCATAAAATGCAGAAAAGGCCTTTGAACGTGTACACCAACTGTCAGAGCCGTCCATGTGAGGAGCGAGTGGACCAAGGCTGCTGAAGGCTCCCAGCCCTGCACCTGCCGCTCAGGTGTGGCTCTGGAAAAGCCAGTGCCTCTTTGGAG